ACATGCCACCGACTACGTTCGCCCCAGGCGGGAGAGCTGCGTCGATATAAATGCATGTGGATCTGTAGGATGTCATCTCAGCCTCCATGGTCTGTATCCACCGGGCTGCCCAGGATCCCGACACCGCCTCAACGTAAGAGCGCGGCATAGGGATGTCAAGAGCGTCTGGGTCGCCTTTTGGGGATACAAGCATCGAGCAGAGATGGGGCACAGCGGCTGCAGGGTAGGCCAACTCGTAGTACCTATCCTCCAGCAAGTCACTGCCAAGGGCATGTGCACCCCTGACTGACGGAGGACTGGCAGTACCAGAGACCAGAGCGACAGCATAGTCAAGGCGGTGGCTAGCAGCAAAGTCAGCAACAGCAGCGACAAGTGCAGAGACGGTCCTAGGAGGAGCAGTCGGGTCAGTGACAAGCAACGCAAGCAAGCAAGAGGTGGTAGGACGAGTAGTCCGAGCAGAGTCAGAGGGAGGAGTAGAGGACTGCGAGAGTGACGACGGAGAATATAATGGAAGAACGGGGATTGGATGAGCATGAGGATGAAGGACCATCGGGTGGACACTAGCACGAGGAGAAAGAGGATGAGCACCGGAGGGACGATGGATCCAGTAGAGAAGAACAAGGGACTAGGGACGAGGGGGGAAGGGGGACAAGTCAGGGGACGGAGGAGAGCGCGGGGGGAAAGAAGCCAGAAAGGATTTCGGGGGAGGAAACAGCGGGCCGTGAACAAGGTCACGCACCGAAGGAAGAATGGGCGGTCGATCAGGGGAACCGGGTGAAAGACCAAGGAGACAAAGAGCAGATTGCGGCTGCTGCTACTTCTGCTGTAGCGACTGTTGCTGCGGCAGCTGCGGCTGCTGCTGCTCCCTGTCCTCTTCAGAATCTCCAGCTCCACCTCGGCTACTACCGGCACGCTCCAGAACAGCACCCCCAGGACTAGCACCCCCAGACGCACCACTCACTGAACCTGCACCCCTAGAGTCAGCACTCACAGAACCAGCACCTCCAAAACCCGCACCCCCAAAGCCAACACCCCCAGAGCCCACTGCCTCCTCCTGCTGCTGCGGCCGCTAAGTCTGTTGCGGCGGCTGCGGCTGAGGCAAGGGGGGAGGCGGTTGAGGTGCCTGGGTTACCCGGGCTGGGGGAGGCGCCATAGGGATAGTAGGCGCTCCCCCAGCAGCAGGGCCCCCTGAGTCAGCCGACTCCCCCACGGGCCCAACCGAGGGGAACGGAGTGGCGTGGGAGACACCAGACAGGGCCGAACGGGATGGGAGGGGTGCGGCAGGAGGGGCAAGGACAAGGAAGAGTGGAGGAGGAGGAGGCACAAGGGCGCTGCGGTGAGGGAAGCGCCAGTAGTAGGGGAGCGTCTCGTCGAAGGTAATGTTACGAGAGTGGTAGAAGTTGTGGTGCGATGGGTAGTAGAGCAGCCAGTCAGGGGCGTCAAGCGGAAACCCAAGGAAGACACAAGGAAGGGTGCGGGCTGATAGCTTGTCCGCGCCGGAGGCGCGGATGTGAGCAAGGCTGCCCCATATGTGGAACGCAAAGGCTTCACCAGGAGATCTGGTCAAGAGACGGCGAAACCTGTGGCCGCTGAGAGCGCGGCCACAAATTAAGCTGGTGAGCAACGTAGAGCACAGTGAACGGCCACAGGAAATGGGGTGCACCCACGTGGACCATGGAGGTGCGAGCTACCTCCATGACCAGGCTGATGCGCCGCTCAGCGACCCCATTCTGCTATGGGGACTCAGGTAGTGTGTACATCTGGCGGATGCCCTCCGCACGACAGACCTGTCCTAGAGTGCCAAAGGCAAACTCTCCGCCATGGTCAGAGTACAACCGGACTACGGGCAGGCAGTGTTGGGTGCAAATAATAAGCAGGGAACGTGGTGGTGAATCCTCGATACTGGAGGAAATCGACACCCACTAGGTTCCTGGCAAACGAGGGGATGTGCTGACTGGTAAGGGAGCCGGAGGGGTAAGCTAGACAGGGGAGAGTGGTGGCACTGCGTGCGATAGCTGTGGTGGAGGAGTCTGCTAGCGCGACGCGAACAGGCGTAAGAAGCGTGGTGGGAGCAGTACTGTCGCGAAAGAAGCAACGAGAGGCACCAGAGTCTAGGATAAAGGAGATGGCTGACGTGGCAGTGCCCAATAAAGGATCTCTAATAGAGCCTATGCCTGATGCAGCAGGGGAGTCTACGTCTGATATAGCAGGGGATCCTAGACTATACATAGCAGTTGCTCCTAGACTACAAACAGCATGATAATAAGGTTCAGCAGCACTAGAGTCATCAGCATACTGGGAATACAATGCCTGATCTATCTGAATCATATCCAAATCAAATATAGGAACCCCACGATGAAGCAAGGCAGGCCAAGTAGGTACCTGCATCAGCGGGCCGAAGTGACGGCGGTAGAGGTCATCAAGGCGGTGGTAGCAGCGAGCGGCGGTATGCCCCACACGCTTGTAGACCTGGTCTGCCTGCGGGCCGGTCAGCAGCCGGTACGTGCCGGTCCCTGTGCCTCCAGAATCGCCAACACCCTGGCTCACTGAGGAACCACGTGACCCCCAGGGCACCGACTGCCTTGGGGCCCAAACTCCACAACCTCCAAAACTCCCCGACTCCGACTGACCGCCCTCTCCATCCGCACCCGCACCCCCACCACCCGCTGCTGCCGACCCCCCACGCCCCTTACCCTCTTTGCCCTTGCCCTTTCCCCTCTGACCCAAGGAGGCTGCCGCAGCGAACTCAGTGGCCGCTGCAACAGAGGCAGAGGCCCCAGATATAGGGAGCTACAGGGCTGATAAGCCCTGAAAGACGGGGACTTCGACCGTGCCAGTGGTGTCAGCGATGGCACGGAGGCGCGACTCAACCGTCGTCAAGGCATAGGAAAACTCAGCGAAAGTGAGGGAGACGTGTGGCAAGGAGGTACAGGGTGAATTAGGTGGGCGGGAAGTGGGTGGTGCTGTGCTCCTCAGGGCAAGCTGCACGCCAGCGAGCCTCAAGGGACTGGAGGTGCGCTACCAGGTCGGCTACAGTGGAGAAGGAGGCTTGGTCGAGGAAGAGAAACGGCAGGACCAGGCGACCTAGAATGGTTGAGGACTAGGTGGAGTAGCGAGCGACAACTGTGTCTCAGATACCCTTAGCAGTCTCGAGAGTCTTAAAGTGAGTCTGCTCAACAGGGGGGAGGGCCCTAGTGACTACCAGCTGTGCAGCTGCGTCGCGGGACTGCCAGGTAGAAAAAGCGGCTAGGGCAGTCTCAAACTCGGTCTGTTGTGCGGGCGTCGCGTCAGCAGCTGGAGCAGCGGGCTCCGGGGGGGCAGCTAACGTACCCAAAGAGTGGGCCACAAGGGTCTCGCCGTCATGGCGGATGGACGTAAGCTGGCGGCGGAGAGCGACCGGCCAAACCGAGAAGCCAATCGCGCGACCCTCGGCGTCCAGGCGGAGGACAGCGGCAGGCGGGGTCGCCATAGCGGTGGCCGGCGGTGACGACGACCGCAGTAGGGATGGCAGTGGTGACTGCAGCGGCAAGCTGCTGGACGCAGCGACACTGTGAACTGGCTAGTGGCGGCGGCGGTGTGGCTGCTGGCTAGTGGTGGTAGCGGCAGGAGCGGCGGTAGTGTCGGCTGCAGCGACAGTGGCGGCAGTGGTAGGAGCAGCGGCAGGGGCTGCTGTAGTGGCGGCGGCAGTGGTAGGAGCACCGGCAAGGGCTGCTGTAGATACGGCTGCAGCAGCAGTGGCGGCAGCGGTAGGAGCAGCAGCAGGGGCTGCTGTAGCGGCAGCTGCAGCGGCAGTGGCGGCAGTGGTAGGAGCAGCGGCAGGGGCTGCTGTAGTGGCGGCTGCAGCAGCGGCGCCAGCGATAGGAGCAGCGGCAGTTGCTGCAGTAATGGCGGCTGCAGCAGCAGCGGCGGCTGTGGTAGGCACAGCGGGAGGGGCTGCCGTAGTGGCAGCAGCGACAGGAGCAGCTGCAGCAGCGGCAGCGATGGCGGCAGGAGGAGCAGCGGATGTGGCAGGAGGTTCGGCAGCTGCGGCAGTGGGAGGAGCGGCGGCAGTGGCAGCTGCAATGGCAGCGGCAGCGGCAGCGGGCGGCAGTGGGCAGTAGTAGCAGCGGCAGCAGCAGAGGTAGCTGCAGTGGCAGTGAGCGGCAGTGGCAGCAGCAGCGGCAGTGGCAGCGGCAGCAGTGGGCAGCGGCGCACAGCAGGTGGTAGCTGGCGGCGAGCGGTGGCTGCTGGCAATACGCTGCTGGCGACTGGCAGCTGGCGCTGGCTGCTGGCTGCTGGCGGCTGGCAGCTGGAGCTGGCTGCTGGCAGCGCGCTGCTGGCTGCTGGCAGCTGGCGCTGGCGGCTGGCGCTGGCTGCTGGCTGCTGGCTGCTGGCTGCTGGCGCTGGCAGCTGGCGGCTGGCGCTGGCTGCTGGCTGCTTCCTGGCGCTGGCGGCTGGCGCTGGCTGCGGGCTGCTGGCGCTGGCAAGATGGCGCTAGCAAGCTGGCGCTGGCGAGCGGGCTCGCTAGCGAGCTGGCATTGGCGAGCTGGCTGGTGAGCTGGCGCCCTGGCTGGCGTGGCGAGCGTCGCGCGAGCTAGCAAGCCGGTGAGCGGGCCGGCTGGTGCGCTGGCTGGCAGCAGGCTGGCTAACACGCTGGCAGGCAGGCTGGCGACGAGCTGGCTAGCTAGCGTGCTGGGAAACGGACAGTACGCTAGGGGGGGGGGGGGGGGGGGGGTTGGATGGGGGGGGAAGGCTACCGAGTGCGAAATCGAACAGCGAGAGGCGCAAAAAAAAAAAAAAAAAAAAAAAAAAGGTGCATACTACATGCGGAAGCGTGGCACTGAGGAAACCTATACCTAGCTCTAAATGCCATGTCAGAATAGCGCAAAAGTGTGACTAGTAAGAGGGGAGGGGAGATACAAGTACAAATAGTTATCCTCTCTAAGAGCTGACCTAGCTAGGATATACTAACAAAGATATTCTAACAAGGATCTATATATATATATATATTGTTAGTTGACGCAATCAGCATAAATTTTACAGAATCCCATGTCATTGTGACGCATCGCACGTTGGGTGATTCAGCCCATCTCATAGACTCAACATGCAGTTGTAAGGTCCAGCATCACGCCCGTGGCTGGCGTGCGGGCGTCAAGTTGAGCGGCGCCGCAGGAGTTGCACGGTCGGCTGCAGCCCGACGACGCCGCCACGGCATCATTACGACGCCGCCACAGTGCGGCGCCGATGCCACGGCGGGACATCGAAGCTGCGACGGTAGCACGACGGCGCCGTCACGCCGCCGCGGCTGGACGTCGACGCCACGACAGCACGGCGCGACGACACGGCAGCGCATCGAGACGGCCGCGGCACGACGCGGCCAGCGGCACAACGACGCCGCCACAGCAGCACGACGCGGCCGCCATGGCAGAGCGAGAGGGAGAGGAGTGCGCGGCGGAAGCGTAGGGAGCAGGCCCGGGAAGGGCAACCTGCTGTGTTACCATGTCACAAGGACTAGGTAGCTAGGAACGGTAGGAAGCCATGAAAATGGCGTGAGGGTTTTAGGCTAGGAAAGTTGACGAGAGAAAAGAGGGTCGAGAATAGAAGAGTGATACAAGGAGGGGGGTTGTGCCCTCTACAGTAGGTTTCGATAACACCTACCAAGCCTACAAATTAGATAACAAAATATATCATTTAACAATTATACCAGTCCCCCTCAGTTTAACAATCAGCACTGCTCCGCTCCACAAACTTCAGTTTCAGTTCAGCCAGATGTGGAAAATCGCTCCAGCTTATATCGGTGCAGATCGTGCGAGGTTCCAGCAATTTCCGCTGTCACTGCAACACTCTTGCCAGGGCCCCGCAACAATCTCCGCAGTGCGCCCCCCTGCTGCTGCAGGGTGGTGAAAGCCAGGCGGAAGACGGCCTTCTGCCCCACGTCAGCGGGCACAAGAACCTTCGCAGATCGAACCATAGTGAGGGAGAGACTAGAAGCCTGAGGGGACGACCGGAAAGAGAGGAAGGAGGATGCAGGAGGAGTGCGGGCAAAAGTGGGGGAGAGATAGGGATGGGGGTGAGACGCTGCAGCGGTGAAAGATGGCCTTCTTCCCCACGCCCGCGCAGATTGAACGGCAGAGAGGGGGTGTTGGATGTTGGATGTTGGATGTCGAACCATAGTGAGGGAGAGACTAGAAGCCTGAGGGGACGACCGGAAGAGAGGAAGGAGGATGCAGGAGGAGTGCGGGCAAAAGTGGGGGAGAGATAGGGATGGGGGTGAGACGCTGCAGCGGTGAAAGATGGCCTTCTTTCCCCACGCCCGCGCAGATTGAACGGCAGAGAGGGGGAGGGGGTGTTGGATGTTGCAGCATGAAAGCTAGGCTGAAGATGGCCTTCTGCCCCATGTCAGCGGGCACAAAGACCTCCGCGGAAATAGGTGGCGCGGGTGACGCGTGAGGGATTTAGCCGAAGGGAGACTACTGCGCTTGGCGTGTACATCACTTGTATTTCGCGCCTTTTGGGTCAGGGGGTCGCAGCTAGACGGACGACTGTTTTCGATCACGCGCCGTCCACTCACCGCTTTTGCGTTGTACTTCTCGACCGCGATTCCCGCCGCTCTCCGCGCCAGTTCTGCGTCACCAGCCGCGCCCGTCTGCGAAAGGTCCAGCGCCACCCACCCCGCGCCACGCGTCGTCGGAGCGTGTGCCGCTGCCGCCAGCGCGATTAGGAGAGTAGCGGCGAGTGATGGGAGCTTCATGGTCTAGGATCGCCTGCTGCGACGGTGCGACAGGGTGATCGTCAAGACCGTTCTCAGACCTATCACTTCGGAATTGCTAAGCAGCGACAGAAAGGACGACCCTACTTCGAGTCGTTCTTGCTCCTGCCCAGTGCGCAGTCCACGCAAGCACAAGCCCTTCCGAGAACTTGCGTTTGAGCGAAATAACCGAGGACTGCTGCGGGACGGTACGGTACAAGTGTACTTGACCATCTCTGCTCCTGGTAGGAGCACAGCCTCTTTCGCGGGAAAGCAGGGTCCGAGCGACCACGGCGAGAGTCCGCCCACCTCCTGCATTACCGCCTCGTCGCAATGGCAGCGGGCTTGAAACGCATCGCCTCCCTCACCGCCGCGCAATAGAGGCAGCGGTCAGTCTCGTCTCGTCAGAGGGGCGACGGGGTTTGAAACCCAGCAGCCGTCGCAACCCCCTTATTCCGACGATGTCGCGTGCGCGCCGTCGTCTCGCAGCCCACACTCTGGATCGCTGCGGGTGCGTCGCGTCAGTGACGTCACGTGCACGAAAACCCTTGCGTGAAGACTGGTCACGGAGGGGCTGTCGATTCGATTCCCGGCCAATCCGGGGGCGGGAATGGGCTGTGTGTGTGTAGCCGGCAACGCTCACATATCTGCGGCGGTGTGAAACGAATGCTTTCGGGCGGCGCGTGAGGGGCAGACCAATCGAATTGCTCACAGGGACTCCCTTGGAGGGAGTGAAGCAGGCCTCTCGATGTCCCCGAAGGGCCCCCTGCAGAATCGCGCAACCAACTCGTCCAAGCTGGGTAACCCAAAGAATGTTGACTGTTTTTGCAAGGCAGTTTCGGCGGTTTCCCGGCATTTGCAGGGTTTCAAGGTCGCGTTCACTTCTTTGAAGTGCACTGAACTTTTCCTTTCACCAATTTCATCTACAAGTGCTCGGATGTTATTATAAGCCAAATTGTGCTAAAAGAAAAACCCAAACGATTGACTACAAGTGCAACCGCCGCATCACCAATTTATTGCCTACTACAAAATATTACCCTACCTACAGATACAAATGCCCCACTTATATGAAGCACAGAGGCGTGGTCCAGGAAAACACGTTTCCCCAACCAGCCCTCTTTGGGGAAACGAGCTTAGCTGAGAGAGGCTTGGTTGGGGGGACGAGTTTGGCTGAGAGAGGCTTCATTGGGGGGAACGAGTTTGGCTGAGTGGGGCTCGGTTTGGGGATATGAGTTTGGTTCAGAGAGGCCTGGTTGGGGGTAACGAGTTTGAGTTAGAGAGGCTTGGTTGGGGAAGCTGCAATATCCAATCAGGGTCTGGCGCGCTTGCCGAAAACCCAAACGGGCCACTTGGGATTTCGGGAGCGGTTTTGCCCGAATCCCTCCCTCAACGGAGAATAGGGATTTCTAGCTGGGTAACCAGGCCTTACAGACGGATGTTACAGGGCGATACATTCCACTACTCGGAAATCGGACGAGGAATCTGGATGCGTAGAAATCAGAGGAATACAGAAAATCACCCTGTTTTCCTTGAGTAAGCAGAGTAATTACCCGGCTATCGAGAGGCCGCCGCGGCTCCCCTACTTCGAAAAGACGGCACGGTAGGCGAGCTGCCCTGTATGGTGGTGGTGCGCAGGGCGGCTCGCCTACCTTGCCGTCTTTTCGATAAGGCATGTGCTGTGCAGGGTGAATCAGTGGAATGTGCTTGTGCTGAGTCCGTGTAGTTCTGCCACAGGACTTCAAATCGCGGCACCCAAATGTGGTCTCCTCCTGACGAGTCGCATACATTTTGCCCGCCTTGCAGATTCTTGCCTAGATTTGGGCGCCCCGCGCCAATTTACAAACCGCACGTCTCAGCTCTGCTGAGCCTCGATAGTGTAATCTAAGCCTCACTATATCCATACTCCATGCTGCTTTTATGTTGTTGTTATAATAACGCAATAGACTAGATTGTGCCATACAGTGAGGTTTTGTGCTATGGTGATGTACCCTCTATGAGCATGCACCTATTTAGCCTATAACATATACAAATATATGCTGATACACCCCCTAGGCTAGACAATGGGCGGTGCCTAGCAAGAGACACGCAGCTCAGGATGGCACTAGTCCAACCTCTGAGGCAAGGGTCTGAGGACCAGTCAGAAGAGTATTAACAAGACGAGCAAACCAGGGCGAAGGTGCCGGTGAACCCCGGCGAACGGTGCAGGTAGACCTGCTCGTGCAGACTGCCCTGGAGGAACGCTGTGGAGAAGTCAAGAGAGTGCAGCTCATACCGTATTCCCTCGGATAAAACACCCGCCGGAATTAATCACTCATGGGTGGTTTGGGCGGACCTGGGTGCTTTATAAAACTGGATATTCATACCACCCTAGTTTTTGGCATGAAACCTATACACCACCCCCCTGATTCATTTTCACTGTATTTCTTTAGATTTTACCTCTTATCAGAGTGTCTCTTATCAGACTCGCGCGTCACTGAGCAGTGCAAGCTCGACACGAATTGGTTCAATGCGGTGTAGAATTGTTACTATGCCTGGAATTCTCGTCACTCAGGCGAATGTTGCGAGTCTGATACGAGGCTCATGGGAACACACTCCTCACAGCCAACACTGCAGCGCGGGAGAATCCATATCGGTCGGCCCTAGTTGGGTCGTAAAGGAATCTGCAGCAGATTCCTTCCGGCTTTGGTGGGCTGTCACATTGTGGCGTCGAGGCTGCCACTTGCCACCACGATCTGCTAGAACGTGACAACATGTGACGCAGGCAACCTGTGACTGTTAGCCTGCATTGTGGCATGACGATGATCGTCCTCACCATATACGCGATCATGTGCAAGAATCGTCAAAATTTGGCACAAAAGAACTGTCTACAATACAGTTCAATTCCATTTCATAAACATACTGTAAATGTGACATTCCATAGCCCCCGGTGGTTATACAAAATGTGTCATTAATTATACCCCCTTGAAAATTTACATGGGTTTTTACTAATACCCCTGGGTGTTTTATCCGTGGAAATACGGTAGTCACGTTGAGCTGCTACATATAGCAGCGCCCGAAGAGTGGTCATCTTCGGGGTCGGGACGAAGGTCTGAAAGAAGACAACCCCATCGCGCTGACTGAAGCCTCTAGTAACGTAGCGCGCCTTGAACACCGGCGGCTCTCCAGGAGGGCATTTCACCTTGAAGAGCCACCGGCCATCAACTGCGTTCACCCTAGGTGGGGGAACTGCGTCGACGTAGGTGCCGGTGGATCTCCAAGCTGTCATCTCTGCATCCATGGCAGCTATCCACTGAGAGGCCCAGGGTCCCGAGGTCGCCTCAGCGTAAGTGCGATGGGTCGGTTAGTCAAAGGCGTCTGGGTCACCCTCAGGGAGTAGCAGCATGGAGCAGAGATGAGGAGCAACCTCGGACAGGAAAGCGAGCTCGTACTGCCGGTCCTCCAGAATGTCACTGCCGAGGGCAAGAGCACCCCCGATGGACGGAGGATAGGCTGGGTCAGAGACTAGAGCGGTGGCGTAGTCAAGATGGCAGGTAGAGGCAAAGTCAGCGACGGCAATGACAAGAGCATCAAAACTCGAGACAGGAACAGACGGGTCGGTAACGAGGGAGGCAAGGACTCGAGGAACAAGAGGACTAGTGGCACAAAGGTAGTCAGACAGA